ATAACATTAGATAGACAAGATGAAGTTCAAACCATGCAAAAGCTCAAAGAATGAGAAGATATTACCAACGGTTCTAGGACAATTGGGTAATTGACAATTGGGTAGTGGACAATTGGGTAATTCCATGTGTGTAATGGACAATTGGGTAACGGACAATTGGGTAACGAGATAATTGGATAATGAGACAATTGAGTAACGAGACAATTGGGTAATGGACAATTGGGTAATCAGCAAAAAGTACTTGACGAGTTTTTCGTTACAATACTTCGTTACATACTCTTACTAAATAGTTATGTTCAATCCGATTACTTTTAGGTAATCGAGTAATCCGAATATTTTTTAAAAGTAATTGGATAAAAAAATCGATTACCATTTCGAATCCTGCTCTCTTTGCACGTGAAACAATTGTTAATCTATCTACGAAACCAAAACCACACAAAAAAACTAGAAAGTCGAGCAGTTTATTAGAAAAGGAATAAAAATGCCAGCTTCAAAATAGAAGTGTTTCTCTCTCGCTCGAAAGTGGTAGTTTTCATCTTTGTCTCCCTCTCTATAATAAAATATTAGCTAAATGCGTGGTTTGGCCAAGGCGTGCAAAACTTATTTTTATGTACATCTTTATAAATGTACTCAGATTCGAAAAAGTAATCAATTTATTTTTAAAAGTGTTCATGAATACTGAGTGCTTTTTGGTAATCGAGTAAAAGTAATCAGTGAGTAGTATTCGTTACGTTACATAACTATTCCTTACCGAACAACATTGCATACTAGTAAGTATCTTATTTTCATTTGCTACCCTATTGATTTACTCTTTTTTAGAATCTTATTCTGAAATGGAGTATTCAGAAACTCAAAAAAATAGGTCGTTTATCAGCTACCCTGGGATTTAATATATTGAGCACAAAGTAAAAACTGACCCCTACAGATGGAGATGCATTACAAAGCAGGATTAAGTCATTATGGTTGATATGTCCCATCTGAATAGGTTTGAATTTGAGGGTTGTTGCTGGATGAAGTATTTTCTAGTGAATTTAAAAAGCACCTCTGATAGTTTTACTGTTGCCCTGGGCCACCACGCAACCTCGAAGTTGTGAATGTGCTCTTTTACGTACTTTGCCAGGGTAAATTGGGATTGCAGCAACGACAGGTGGTTGAAATCCGCTCCGAGCCGTTGTTGTTTGAGGACGTTTAGTGCCGGCTTTATTTTATTGTCTTCTGCAATAAAACTTTCGGTTTTTTGTAGACGTTGCTAGATTCATACCATAGAAATCTTATTTCTTCGCTAGCGTTTAGTACCAAAAAAGCTTTAATTTTAGTAATTCGGCGTGATGCTTCAACGATATTATATCGAGACCACCAGTTTTATATGGCAACGAAATAACTTCGGTGACACAACTGCTTATCGGTTCAGATAACAATTCTCCTACCGTTTCTGTTACAAGATGGTTTAGAGTGTTCTCTATCCAGATCAGAGAAATATTGTAGGTACGAAGTTCAAAGGTTATTTGAATTGTAACGAAGTGTCTGAGAATTTCCAGCTCCCAAAAATAATTGATACTATTTATTTATTTCATTTATTTTTGTTTTTATATTTAATGTATTAAATATAATATTAACAATTATATTTTATTTGTATATAACTATTATCTACACATAAATTATAAATATTATATTATTTATATATTATATATGCTCATACGTATTAAATATGCATATAAAACAAAAAACACCCATCATCACCAATAGATGCCCAATATCTATCATCCCCGTACTTTCACGTATTCTAGAAAAATTCATCGTTAGGTCATCACCCAAACAAATCAATTAAAAATATTAGGCATCACATTCACTTCCACACATGTAGTCCCTCATATCAATCACATCATCACAAAAGGCTTTCAAACATTTTACGCACTCAAAACACTCCGCTCACATGGTCTCAGAGGCATCAAACTATTCGACATCACCGAATCACTTAACATCTCACACATCAAATATGCAGCTCATTCCTGGTCTGGTTTTGCTACACAACAACAACTTCAATAATCTCTCATCAAAAAACTAATTCGCCTCAACTATCTACCTGCATCACATCCTATCACCACTCAAATATTCAAAAACCTCGATCCAATACTGTTCAAGAAATTTGAAAAAAAAAACAACAACCACGTCATCCATCCTCTACTACCACCAATCAAAACAACTACACACAATCTTCGTCAACGCAAGCATAACTATCAAGTCACCACTCAATCATCACATCAGGAAAAGACATTCATCACAAGACACCTCAAACATATTAGCACACAATAAATCTTTATCATTCACAATATCTAGTTTTCACTTATCGATCATCTCACTAACTCACTAAGTTATTATCTAGTCCATTAACAAATTACTCTATTTGTTTGCCTTTCTATACCATTACTTTATTTAATTTTCAATACTTTTCCTGTTTAAACATTTTCTTTCTCTGTTATTTATTTATTTACTCATTTATTTTTTTTGTTTAATTTTATACTACTGCCTTGCATGCTGTAAAAGTTTCTGCGTCTGTCAGATCCTGATTTTTTAAAGAATATTAAAAATTAGAAATATATATACAATTAAATAATCTAATTTTTTATTCTAATATATAGGCTTAAAATTAAAATCTATTTTAATTTATATACAATATATAAATAACACTTATAAATTTTGTTAACACTTAATTTTACTTTTAGTTTTTGGTTACTATGGTCACAATATTTTCAACTGCTTTTTTATTGTAATTAAAATATTTTAATTTTATTAGTTTATATTTAATTTTTTTCAATAATTCATTAATTTATTTTCATTTAAATATGTTCTTTTTAATTAATAGCAATAAAATGATTATTATAAAAAAAAATTGTTAACAAACTAAACTAAACAAAATAAATAAATAAACTAAATAATAAATTACAATTTATTATTAGAATAATATAGAAATTTAAATTAAAATGAATAAATAATACTATAGCGATAAAATTTAATGAAAATTATATATATATTTTTACAATATTCTATAAATTCTACTGAATGATTGGCGTTAATATGTTTGTAGTTCGTTTTTTCGATTTTTCTGAATTTTCTCA